TTAATAAACTGTTCTAGATTCTTTAGTTTATTAATGTGTTTATACCTATCCTTAATCTAGTTATAAAGTCCTTTATAGAACATGCAGCAGAGGGCCCTTTAGTCTGTCTACCTATAAATAGCTTATTGCTTGCAAAATTAAGCTATGTATTACTGTACTATTTTTTTTCTTGTAAGTTATTTATTTTATCTACTGCTAATTTTTTTAATTTACTTATTTATAAATAGTTTTTAGCACTTTCTTAAATTTTTCTATATTTTTTAAAAATTAATTAGGTTTAGTTGTGTAGTAAAGTTTCTATTCTTTTATACTAGTTCTAATTATCTGTGTAGGGTTAGAACTATATAGCTAGGGTTTCTTCTAGGTAGAGGCCTATCTACTTAACTATTTCTTTATTAGTTTAAAACGCTCTAAAGTTATAGCGTATATAAAGTTAGCAGTAGGTAAAAAAAAGGTTTTAAGTTTTTAAACTAGCTTATCAAGAGTGTAAGTAGTATAAGATGTAAAAAAATTTTTACTAATGTGTTTATTTACTTGTTAAGATAGTAGTAAAGGGTAGTAAGTTCTACCTATAAGTTTACTACCTACTTTATAAGCTCTAGTTTAGAGGCAGTTAGGTTTATTATTAATTTTAATAGGGCAGCTCTTGTTATTAAAGTATCTCTATAGATAAAGAGTATAAGATTTATACTTTATTAGAGGGGAGTAATTATAGTTATAATTTTTACTTGAAATAAATAGTGTCTAAAGTACTTAGTGTAACGATTCTCGTTCCATCTCGGGTCGCCCGGAACCCATCCGAAGGGTCCCCGTATCGGCTCCGACCTTGGCTCGACCCTGACTCGACCTGGCCCCGACTCTGCCCTGCCCCCTGCTGTTACCCCTATTCCCTTATGTATTTAGTTGCACCTTGCCCTGTAGCTAGCTTAGTAGTTTTCTGATATCCTTTTGTATAAGGCCTATAGGTGTTAATGGCATTCCTAGGTTCTAAGTCCCCACGCACTCCTATATGCCTCTAAGTGGATTTATACCGCATTTAGACCCATTGTCTTGCCTGCGCTGTTACATTATATTAGAAAACTTGCTTTTGCTAGTAACAGCTTTATAATAATATTGCATTAATTATCTGTTTAACTATGTCTAAGCCTAAGATGTGTCTAATTTAGTTTAGGTTACAATTCTCTACACTGTTACATTAAATTACTTAGTCTATAAACTAGATCCTATTAACTTCTAGTTAACTAAAGCCTTTAGGTTTAGAACTTCCTATCCCCTATAATTAGGATTGCCTTTAGAAAAGTTGCATAGAGGCGCTAAGGTAGAAACTTAGAAACTACTAATAACTTATTAGAATTAGAGACAACTGCTAATGTCTAACTAACTACTACCCTCTAATTCTAGAATTAAAATACGCTCTAGCTAAAGCAAGCCCTCTAGAGTTAATTAACAATCTATGTTAACAGCTAAACCTGCTCCTGCAGCACCTAAAGCTATACCCCTACCTAATTTAGAGTTAACCCCTAGTAGTATATCTATTAATAATTAGATTGCTTAATTATAAGCACAGCTTAAGCAGCTAATTTAGCTAAAAACTACTAGTTAACCCCTACTAACTACTAAATCACCCCTAATAACGCCTTGTACTACCTTTGCTACTCTAAGTGCAAGAGATCTTTTAGGCACCCCTTAGACCTAGTAAATCCACCTTACTAAACACACGCCTAAGATTAAGATTTTTACAGACAGCAAAGAACCTATGTTTAAATAATAGCAAGCCTTTATTATAGACAGACTTAACATTAATTTAGATTACTATTAAAGCAAGCGTGCACACATAGCATTAATATAGGGACACATGGCTAGTATCGCAAAGGATTATCTAAAGCCTAGATACCTAGCTAAATTAGATTACTTTTAGTTTAGAAACATAAAAGAAATAATAAAGCTCTTACAAGCTTATTTTATTACTAGTTAGAAGAAAACTAAGGCATAGTAAGTGTTCTAGACTCTTAGAATAGATAAAAAGAAAGCTTTTTCTACATTTAAAGCGCGCTTTATTAGTGCAGCTATTAAGGGAAAAGTATTTTAGTTAGATTAGTCTTTCTACTTATAAAAGAAGCTTCCTCCTAGCCTACAGGTACTAAATTATAGTTTTAAACATACCTAGGCAAACTTTTTTAAAGCTATAGTAGCCTACTTTACAGTGTACAATCTAGAAAGGAGGACCTATAGGAAAGACCTTATTATCCTATCTAAATTAGCTTTAATTAACAAACTACACCTGCTACCCTAATAATTAATAACTGCATGCGTAGTGTTAGGTTTAGAAGACACCGCTAGCAGTGCAAAGGAATACTTAGCAAGGACACCTAGCTAAATTAGACTAGTTTTAGTTTAAGAAGGCAGAGGACATAACAATAATACTTTGTACTATAAATACTACTAATAGGGACTATTAGTCTACAGAGGGGGGGGTAGTGTAACAATTCTTGTTCCATCTTAGGTCGCCTAGAACCTATCTAAAGGGTCCCTGTATTAGCTCTAACCTTAGCTTAACCCTAACTTAACCTAGCCCTAACTCTGCCCTGCCCCCTGCTGTTACCCCTATTCTCTTATGTATTTAGTCGCACCTTGCCCTGTAGCTAGCTTAGTAGTTTTCTGATATCCTTTCATACAAGGCCTATAGGTGTCAATGGCATTCCCAGGTTCTAAGTCCCCACGCACTCCCATATGCCTCTGAGTAGATTCATACCGCATTCGGACCTATTGTCTTGCCTGCGCCGTTACACTTAGAGCCTTAGAAGTTAAATATAGAGAGGAAGAGGAATAAAGAACTTAGACTGTTGCAGATGTATAGTCTACTTAGTTATAGTTAGAGTAAGAAGAGGTAAGTTAACTGTAGTTTGCTCTTTAACAGCAGTATAAAGTGCTTAGGTTAAACAGTTCTAGTTTAGAATAAGATAGAGGTATATATAGTGTAAAATATATAATTAGTATTACTTTTATTATAAAGTAGTAATACTACTTAGTCTATGTAGCTAGAAGCTAATAATAAACTAAACTTTAATTACAACCATTCTATACTAGTTAGGATTAAGGCTATATACATAGGGTTGCACGTTGTTAAGTGCTAAAGAGCGTAGCGTATAGCTGTGCGCAACAGCGCTCTTCTGCGTCTAAACCTTCTTGTCCTATTAGACAGTGCATTTAGCTGTGCCTTAGACTAGCGGGTCTGTCTATTCTTAGTCTGTCAAGTCACGTGACTTGTTACGCGGGACAGGAAAGGTGTTCTAACCTTTTTTGTTCAGACAGTGGGGCGTCTGTGGTTGGTAGCTTACGATCTAATTGTAGGTTGTAACAGGTATTTATTTTTGTCTTATTAATATATATATAGCAATATTCTGCTTTATAGTTGTAATTATAGAGTTGTTTATAGTATTAAAGTTAATTATTCTATTATGCTACTTTACGCTAAAAATAGTAGAAAGCATAGTGTTATTTTTTACATAAGTAGTATAATTATGCTTTGTAAAAGAGGCTGTTTCTACAGGTAATGCATTCTATGTTTTTACATGTTGTTGTCTATTCTTTTAAGTTATCTGCTTTATTAATTTCTAGGATGTCCTTAGGCTACTATCTAGCCTTATATTTTTCTTGCTAGTTAGAGCATCTTCTATTCTAACAGGTATACTATATCTTGTAGCAAAATCCTAGTTGTAGCACTACTAGTTGTAGTAGTTGTTAAGTCTGTAACGGCGCAGGCAAGACAATGGGTCCGAATGCGGTGGGAATCCACTCAGAGGCATATGGGAGTGCGTGGGGACTCAGAACCTGGGAATGCCATTGACACCTATAGGCCTTGTACAAAAGGATATCAGAAAACTACTGAGCTAGCTACAGGGGCGAGGTGCGACTAAATACATGAGGGAATAGGGGTAACAGCAGGGGTCGGGGCCAGGTCGAGGTCGGGGCCGATACGGGGGCCTTCCGGAGGTTCCGGGCGACCCGAGATGGAACGATTCATGAGAATCGTTACAAAGTCTACACTAGGAATTCCTTATTTTAAACAATTTATACTAGGTGTTCTTTCTATAGACAATTATCTATGTTGTGTTTTAATAATCTATATATAGTATATAGGTTCTAGTTGTTCTAATTTTCTAATTCTTTTCTAACTATTGCTAATGCTAGTAGTAGAGTTAGTATTCTTAATTTTTATGTTAGTAGTCTAGTAAACTTGTTTTATAGTTCTCCTAGCTTTTTATTTTAAATAAGTATTGTTGCGTTTTGCCAAAAGGTCAACCTCCCAGCTAGCACAGCAGAAGGATATATGTAGACGGATAGCTGTACGCGACACACCCCCCAGCTTGAACTGTAGAACAAGAGAGGTGAAACATGTTAAAACAACCTTAACACACCCTTCCTCTTGCCTAAGCAACAGAACTTAGAGACAGATCTAAATACAAGGTAGCCTCTGTAATAGGCGCACTGCCTAAATGCTCTTTGCTAAGCGTGGGAATTAAACACGCAGTGTTCTAGGATAATGCAATCTTATTAGTAGAGCAGGGGTGCGCAAATTTTTCAAGCGCTAACCATCTACACTACGCCGCGAACTAGGCTTATAACTGTTGCGTTTTGCCAAAAGGTCAACCTCCTAGCTAGCACAGCAGAAGGATATATGTAGACGGATAGCTGTACGCGACAAGTATGTTTTAGTAAAATTAGTTACACTGTTGCTTAGTAAATAGGCTGTAATTTTATTATGTAACCTTAGTAATTACTATTTACACTTTAGGCTTGTTTTATATTTTTACCTAGTAATATTCTCTATTATACTATAATTTCTTGTAATTTACTACTTTACACTTCTAACATAATTTATTAAAGTATTAGTTGTCTAGCTTTTTAGCTGAAAGCTTTTTAAGCTTTTGTTCTACTAAGAACCTTTTCTATCCTTTTATAACATTTTTTACATAGACTAGTATATTATTCTAGTTAGTCTATTTGTTTGCAGTAATCACACGATAGTCGGATGCGTCGTCACCATGGTCGCATGCGTCGTCACCATGATCGGATGCGTCGTCATCATAGTCGTGTGCATCGTCACCATGATCTGTTGCCAAGACTCACCCACTCATTTCGCATGTATATAGACTCCTACAAAGGACTCCTCTAGCAATACATTCAATGCAGTTCCTCATGTCTCTGGTGCTCCACATAGCTTCACACTATTCTTTAGACTTAGCTGCTTAGGCGTAGAGAGTACTATAGCTCTTATTTATTTAAAACTACTACTTTTTAATAAACTTAGCTACACTAACCTAGGAAATAGTTTCCTTTACACTTTTAGTAAAGGTGTAAATCTAATTATTTCTTAACATCTTAAAAAGATAGCTTAATTTTAGTATAGTAAACTTTTATATTTATACTCTTTTTTTATTCTTTTAAGTTTTAAAGTCTAGGCAGTTTTTTTTTTTAAAATGTTCTACTGTTTTACATTTTAGGCACGCTTTTTTTAACACTATTTTTTTTCTTTTTTTATAAATAGTTTTTATAAGGCTTTATTAATGCCTTTTCTTTTATTTATAGCTTCTACTTTGCTCAGGTCTATAAGTTTTAGAGTAGACACAAGTGTTGTTTTTTATAAAATACTATTCTTTATTTTTTAACTTCTTTATTTTTTAATTCTCTTATATAGAGCCTATTATTAATTCTAATTACTAGTTCTATATACTTAATAAAGTCTATTAGCTTTTCTAGCTAACTAATCTTATTTTTCGCTAAGTTCTTAAGTCTTTTATAAAACATTATGCATAGTGCTTATAAGTCTGTCTATCTATACTAGAATTAGTATTTCTTAAACTTTATAGCATACTCTTCTGCAAAGCTTTTTTATTTAAGATTGTCTAGTTTCTATGCTACTATTTTTTCTGCGTCTAGGTCACGGTTAACTTAGACATGCCTCAGACTCTCTCTAGAGAGTCATCGTAAGGGAAACCTGGAGAGGAAGGTCACCGAAGCATCTTGAGAGAGGTATGGACTGTCAAGATTAGGTAAATGTGCAATCTCTTTAATGTGCTCTTCCGACGTTATACTTCAACCCTACATCCTCCGATAACTGCTATATCGAATTATACTTTGCAGAACGGTTATTTGCACGCAGACTAGACATTAAAAACCCTGTATTCATCTATCGGGATATCACAAATCGTATTAAAGATAAGCAAACACCAGGTACACCAGAATGGCCCACTCGCATCCCTCGAAACTTCCAAATCCATTCAATCTCTTAAGAACATCTTATAACTCGGACTATCCGTTACCTCCTCCCACGGATACCCAATAGCCTTCAAAAACTCCGTCAACTTATCCTTCTCATCCTCTTTACACTGTATCCCAGCCAAGACCTTGCCCACATCACCTCCATAGTTCCGATAATGGAATAGCGAGATGTTCATGCCAGGTTGGAGGGTATGCAAGAATTTATAGAGCGCACCACCTCGCTCTGGAAACTCGAACATGAAGAGATGTTCGTCCGCAGCGCTACTTCGGCCGCCGACTAGGTATCGAATATGCGACTTAACGAGCTCGTCTTGTGAAAGGTCGTGCGCGGTCATGCCTTCGGCTCCTAGCCTGGTGATGAGGTCAGGGAGATCTCTTTCGCGGGTGGCAGATTTCATCTCGACACCGACGAGGATATTAGCGGAGCTGGGTCCACTGTACCGGTAACTGAATTCTGTGACGGCCATGGGATGGATGGAGGAGACGAGTTTTGCGAACGCGCCGGGCTGCTCGGGGATGTGGACCGATAGCAAAGCCTCCTTATTCTCACCAAGAGCAGCGCGCTCAGCGACGAAGCGGAGTCGGTCAAAGTTCATGTTGGCTCCACTTGCCACGGCGATCAAGCCCCTCTCTCTCTTTGGACTTGGGTTCCTCGCCACCCACTTTTTCAACCCGGCAAGGGCCAGTGCGCCTGCTGGTTCGACAATGGATCGCGTATCTTCGAACATGTCCTTGATGGCGGCGCAGGTCTCATCGGTCGTGACCTGCACCACCTCATCAACCACTTCCTGGCCTATCCTGAACGTCTCTTCTCCCACGGTTTTAACAGCTGCACCATCAGCAAAGAGTCCTACGTCTTTGAGGACGACACGCTTCCCCGCTCTCAGTGACTCCACCATGGCGTTGGCATCGTACGTTTCCACGCCAATGATCTTGACATGAGGCGCTATGCGCTTGATGTATATGCCAACACCAGCAATCAATCCACCACCACCAACGCAGCAGAAGACAGCCTCCAGGTTTTGTAAGTTGGTCTGCCGTAACAATTCCATGCCAATTGTGCCTTGGCCTGCTATCACGTATGGGTCGTCGAAGGGTGGAATCGATACGAGGTTGTGGAACTTCTCCAGCCGATGTGCCTCCTCCTTGGCGGCGTCAAAGTCGGCTCCGTGGAGGACGACTGAGCCGCCTAGTCGGGAGACATTTTTGTGCTTGATGTCGGGGGTGCCCGAGGGCATGACGATGGTTGCGGGTATGCGGAGGCGACGGGCGGAGTATGCGACGCCTTGGGCATGGTTCCCTATCAAAGGCAATCAGCCCTGAAGGCCTTATATCTTGACTGGTGAGAGACATACCAGCACTGCACGCTACAACACCCCGCCACCGATCCATTGAATCCAAATGTGCCATCTTGTTATACGCTCCTCGCAGCTTGAAGCTAAACACGGGCTGCAGATCCTCTCTCTTGAGCATGACATTGGATTCTAAACGGTTGCTTAAATTTGTAGCATGTGTGAGGGGTGTTTCTTCGACGACTTCGTAGACGCGGGAGGTGAGGATAAGGCGGAGGTACTACAATACACTTAGTCTCTTCATCCCCGTGCTCTAGTATACAAAGATAACTATTCTCATACATCAGGATATCCATTCGGCAGGAGGAACGCATCCGGGACAGCATTTTTCAATTTCGCCTTGGGAGACTCCGATGGCGGCGAAGGGTTGGTCGAATATTCTGTCAGAGCAAGACTTGTGGTTTTCGGCGTACAGGGCGTAGGAATCCCATTGGCACTGTCCTCGGGAGTTGTCGGGCGCGAGTAGTCGGCCATGGTAGCCAGTTGCAGCGTGTTTTGTGTTTTGTGTTTTGTGTTTTGTATTTTGTGTTGCACTGTTGAAATTTCAAGCGATGATGGCGTCGCGAAGGTACGGTCCCACATCGGCGACAGGGGGTGCTATCGAAACCGCAAGCACCACATAGCGGGACGAGCTCCACCTGTACCTTTTGATCATAGTGGGGCGCTCCGAATTCAAACTCAGCTCCTCCATGATTTTGCTGGGGAGACGCCTGAAACATGTACATGCTATGGACAATATATATCAGAGTTAGAGGGGCTGTCAGCACTGCTGCTACGGACGTCTCAATGTGGTCAGGAAAGTCGTTGAAGCTACTGGTGCATCGATTTTCTCTCCAGGCAGAGGCGGTGAATGAAAAGGAATTCAACAGCAGCCGTATCAGGCAGCGTTGGGACAGAAACTGCGGGACAGATGGTAATTATTTCGTGCTTATGCATGTCGTAGTACCTGTCAGCATATCATGCGCCACGAGCACATCTTTGAGGAGCATGCACCCGTCTGCTGACGTCTATTCGCGGGGTAGGGTTAGGGAGCCACGCTGTTGTTAGTGTAACAACCTCGTAATAGAATATTGCTGCATCTTAATGAGATATGTGTAAGAGGTGGGGAAGTGGCTCTCGTTTGCCATGCAGGGCTTCAGGAATGGAACACCTGAAGGTGGAAAACGTAATTCATATGATATAAAGACGGGGCTCCGTACCACTTCGCTATCACAACTAAAAAGGTACAAATAGTCAACCCACGGTTGATTCGCGAGCAGAATAGTATATATGCCTTACACATGACAGGCGATCTAGCTATGCATACCCCAACTAAACCCTCCTCGACAATCATAGGCGAGAGAGAAACAAACCCATGTTCCGTTCAAGGACCAAACTCTCTAGCTTTCAGCACCGGACTATTCAGACAAAAGGCAAAGTAGAAAATGATTCAGAGAAATACTTTCCATTTGCCCAAAAAGATGCAGGTTTTAAAGATATAGCTAATTCACTCTCCAAAGAGGGTAAGGGGAAAACGATGCTAAAGAAGCCAATTATTAGACACGTGGAATAAATCTTTTCTTCTCAGCCTGTTCTGCCGTCCCCAGTGGATTGGTACTTCATCGCCTGCCCCATATTTGTCGTTAGGGCCGCCAAAGGTAGGTCGTCGGTGTTCTGGAGTATTGAGCTGTTGCTCTTGATGCAGACCGTAGAACCAAAGCCGAGGCACACCCACAACGGTTATGGCTGCTCGGGAGTTGTAGGCTGCCGGAAGCTGCCGGAGGACGTTGGATGCAAGAGAGAGAGAGGCTTTTGTGTTGCGGTGAGAGGAAGATGCCTAGGTAGAGTAACCATTAACCGAGATCTCCAGAGAGATGGGATTAGGAGGGTGCGGTTAACAGGGCTTCCAACGGGCCGTACTACGGTCCGTACAAAGTGAACCGTAACGGTCACGTGTTCAGTACGAACGTACTGAGTTCGTAAGCCGCACTGTACGGTTAATGATGCCCTAGGTACAGTACGTAGTACAGATTGTATTACCCTTTTAGGAAGTTTTTATAGCGATTCTGGAGGAGTAGGAGGACTCTGGTGAGCAGGAGGTCTGCGGGGAGAGCTTCTAAAGCTCTAATTAGCCAAAAGTTTTGCAAGGGCGCTTAAATCTCTTTCTAAGGGGTTTAATCTATCTATCTGCAGTCTGTTGTCTTAAAAATGCCTATTACAGACTATTTTCTATTACAGAGTTATCTATCTACGTGTCTTGCCGCCTTATAGGCCTTATCTAGTTAATTAGATCTCTCTGTTGTCTATTTTACGCAGTCTTATAGGCTGTAGAAGTTAAAAGCCCTCTACACTGCGTCTCCTGCCTTATCCTGTGATAGTACACTGTCTGTAGCTAAAGATTAATTGCAGCAGTTTCTAGAGAACTGCAATTATAATGCTAGCGTTAAGTTTATAATTAATTAGAATAATATATAGCTATTAAACTTAAAACAGGCATTGCCCTTAGCATAATTAGGTTACTAAGTAAAGAACAAGACTACTTTACAAAGCAATTGTACACTGTTAAAGGTGTAAGCTTATAGCGCAGATATAACGCTCCTAGAGGAGCAGAGCAAGGTAATCTGCCTCTAGCTCTGCTGTTAGTGTTATAAGCAGGGCTTTTAAGGCGCTGTAAAGGTGGTAGATAGCTATAACTATATTATTTAGCACCTACTAAGAGAGCATAAGGTTAACGTTAATAGAGAGCTCTTACCTAATAGCGTACAGCTACTGCAGCACCTATGGGAGGCAGCTAGAGGAGCAGCAGGCTTGTCGCGGGGGTTATCTTATACACTATAGCAGGAGGGTCCTCTGCGCAGTGCCCTAGTTAACTAGGTTATAGTGCAGGATTAGTTGTTTAAAAAGGCTATTTTATTAAAGACCTATAGTTTTATTAGCTAGAATTGCATAGATCTTCTTGCTGCCCTACTACATTCTGCTACTACACTCTCTAAGGATATCTATGCTGCACTTATGCAGTAAAAGAAGAAGATTTAAATAATACTAATTACTGCGCTATTAAAAATTGCGCTAAGCATAGATATATAGTGTTCTAGAAACTACCTTTCCTTCCTTACAGTAGTAGCTTACTTTGTTAGTATGCGCGCACAGGCTACTATTATAAGAACTCTGTAACTAACAACAGCTAGATGCCTTACACGCTTAGCAAGACCTCTTAATTAGCTTTAAAAACTTATACAGTAACTATACTAGCAGTGCGCAAGCTTCTAAGATAGCTGCTGTTATTAATAAGTACAATATTACGTTAAAATTTAGCTGCTTTATTAGAGATAATGTGTTAAATAACAACAACAAGCTTATCTAGAGCCTTAATAAGGAGCTTAACCTACTGTATAAGCTTAATAGACAGCACTAAATCTACTGCGCTGCCTATATAATCTAGGTAGTTATTAAAGCTATTATATACAGCAAAGGTGTTATAAAATTTAAGCAGAAGCTTGCTAAAGCTGCTCTACGCAATTAATTTAAGCTATATAGAAAGCGTAGAGTTATTAGACAACTCTATAACTTTGTAAACAGTGTGCTAGCATTACATAAGCGCATAAGGCTTTTTAAGACTCTCTAAATTAACATTGCAGAGGAGGACTTAATTTAGCAGTTTAGCACGCTTAATCTAGTGCGCAATAGCAGAGTACACTAGCACTTAGTTTACCTTATGCTATTACGCTGTTACAAGCTTAGAGAGGCTATTAGTTGCTTCTAACAGCAATAAAGAGGCTTTTCTAATGCTAATAAAAAGACTTAACAAGCTAGCTTTAATGCCCTAGCAGATCTTATTACTAAAGATAATTAGGATAAGATTAAGCGCTTTAAGAACTTTTTAGAGAAGTTCTATTAGATAATAAAGAGACTTAAGGGCTAGAGCTTATCTAGCTTACTATAGAGGACTATAATAGAGCTTTAGTGCCTCTAAATCTACCTTAATTAAATAAGAGTAATTACTGCTAACAAGCTAAGTAACTTATACCTTAAAAATGCTGTTAAGTTTAGCTATTAAAAGCTTACTACTTACTAGGGTAAACTAATTCTTAATCTGCTAGTCTTGTACTACGCAGTTACTACTATCCTTAACCCTTAATTGCGCTTACTTTAGTTTTAAGATTACTAGCAGTATTACAAGAGCTAGGTAGATAAGGTAACTAGGTTAATAAAGACAATCTTTAACTAGTATTTAAATGCTAAGGATAAGCATAAAGTTAAGAATAAGCTATTATCTCCTAGGTGTTGTAAGCTGCTAGGTAGCAACTATTACAACAATAATTACAAGGCTTGCCTCTTTATTAACCTTTCTCTTATAACAAATTAGCGCTTACACAAGTGTAAGAAGGTGTTAAATAAGCTACAGCTCTACTATAACTTTATAAGAGCTAATTACTACAAAGATTACCCCTTACTACGCGGAGAACCCCTATAATAGTGGCTTACTAGAGGCAAAACAGCCTATCCTATCCTCTTTAAGATTGCCCTTAATTTCCTTACTATCCTAGCTACTAGTTGTAAGTGTGAGAGGTGTTTTAGCGCAGCTAGTTGTACAGTAACTAATAATTAAGGCTTACTAAAAAGTGCAACAATTAAGGCTATTTAACTCTAGAAGAACTAGCTACAGCATAAGGTAGTAAGTAGCAAGCTTTTAGACCTCTCTGCTCTTGTTACTAGGGAGAATTAGTTATCTTATAGTTAATTAGACCTTAATCTTGTGTCTCTAGAGACCTATAATCTTAGCTGTTTTAACTAGAGTATAGCGTACTTTAATTAAATTGTACTACTTGTACAGATCACGTGAGCTGTAACAGTTACAATACGTACACCTACCTCTCCTCCTCCCTGCCGTACGAACGTACCCAAAATCTCACCCGTACAGGCCTCAAAATCGCCCAATCGTACAGTACTACGCCTCGTTGGAAGCCCTGGCGGTTAACACCAGCGGCCCCGAACGTCAACGTTGGCATGTGCTCCAGGACCCACGATCTGTACTGCACCTTTAGCATGTGACCAAGGGCCTCGCTCCTATTTTCCCGTAATCTCTCTAGAGTGTCTTGAATGAAGGCACCAGGGGTGTTCGTGCACCTATTGTTGAGCCCTGGAACGGAACCAGAGCAAGAGACAGCCTTGGAAAAGATCCAAGTCCAGCCGCTAGGATCCCAATGTCCGCGCTTAGAAGGAAGGAAGTCGCATCAAACTGTGTCCATTGTCTCAAGGCTCCGCGGAATATTTACATCAAGGTCTGTCGGATAGCTTGCGACTTGATTCCCCCTCAGGGGGATACAATCATGTTATCAACCACTTAGACACCGAGTACTTGCGCACTTCCAAGGAAAGCTAACCAATTGCTTAAAGGAATTCGACCGGCTCATTTGATCAGCTGGTTGGAAGAGCGGATAGCAAGACTTAGCAATGAGCATGTTCGTTCCGCTGTGGACCTTGCGCTAGTCTGCCTAACTAGACCAAGAAAGTAGCGCACAATATTAGCTTAAATGAAGACAGGAAGACCCACTACTGCAATACAATCATCACGCCGAAGGAGACTGTTTCTATATCCCATATCCTCTATGGCCAAACCGATAGTAATACTGCGGCTTGAGGTGCAATACAAAGACTCCAATAGTATATTAGAAAGCAGATATAGCCGTACCAACCTTGTACACAGAAAACACGGGGAAAACAGTTCTTCAGGGAGGGGGGAGGGGTTCTACCACTCCAAACTTAAGCTAAAAAGTGGGTAAACAGGACCAAGGAAAAGAGGCCTCTCCAGAAATCTGCACACTGCGGTACCGTTACAGCAGCCTGCCAAGCCATCCTTCGAGTCGACTTTTCTCTTTCTTTCAAAAGCGTCATGCGGATACTTGCGATATTCCAGGATGCGAGTAGTGGCTATTATCGGGCTTGACATAAGGAGAAGACCTTATCCAGGCAATCCAGCTCCAAAAAAACTGAGATGAACTAAAACCTACAGGGGTGACTAGTATTGGTTTCCGGATCTACACTTCGGTTATTCTGAGCGCACGGTCGCTCAAAAAGACGCTTACGAAATGACTCTTAGCGCTTTGCAGGAGCACCATAGCTGTGGCCCATGTACCTCGACCTACCCATGAAAAACAAGGTCAAAGCAGGAGCGGGTCGGCCATCCTCCCCGCTAGTGTGATCAAGGTGTTCACCTGCTGGTAAGCAGACTGACAGGAGCATTTAAATCTTGAACCATTGCTATATTCAGTACCAGAAATTGCACCGCCACCAGTTGATCACCAGTTATCCACTTGCAAGAGGCGGTGGCTGGTCCCGGCGAGCCTGCTTCCCTTGTGCTCACTCACCAACATGCTAGGTTATTGAGCTTAGGGAAACCTGCTGTAGATTTACAGAAACTCAAGTGCATCAAGCCTCAATGCTATTATTAGATCCTCCAATCATCGAAAAGGAATAGGCGACGGCTCGGTCAACTCTAATTCGTCCGCCAAGATTGTACAGCGATGCAGGCGCACCAAGTAAAACGTCCTCCAGCTGAAGCCGCTAGCAACACAAGCTCACCTCCATACTTCCTGTTTCCCTAGCAATCTCAAAGGACTTCCTGCGTTAAAAAAAAAAAAAAAGGCAGCAAACAGGTGAAAGCGATTCCTATCTAAGTTCTTACCACTCCAGTGGCATTTCACGCGCAGCAAAGCAGGATGGAACGACCAGGCTGATGTAACTCGAAAAGCATTCAGCATCAACGCCGTCTTGTCCAAAACTATCAGCTTGTGCTTAATGGCGACAGCCATGGAAGCTCCAACTCCCATAGCGGACTTCGGGCTCACCATCCTAAGTGACCCTCAGGATGCGGTGATTGAGTACGTTTCACCGAGTGGCCTTGATAGTAATAGTTCGAACTGATTTAAGCAGCTTTGTCTTTGTCCATGGTCTCCAGGGACACCCACGAGACACTTGGACGTATAAGTCGAAGCCAGCTCAAAGTCCCCAGAGTCTGGGTCTATCTCCTCCGGCAGCTGCTAAAAGTACGAAGCGGCGAACCCTCAGTATCATTCCTAAATTCTTGAAACGTAAACAAATGGAGCTAGGGACATCAGAAGTGGGTGTTGACCAGGAAAACGATACAAAAGATAGAAAGCGCCAAGGAAAAGACATCTTCTGGCCGGGGGACCTACTCAAGGAGGACTTCCCCAAGGCAAGGATAATGACATTTGGCTATAATACAAAGATCACCCAAGGCTATCAGGCGGCACACCAAGGCAACATTTTCTCCCACGCGAAAGACTTGTTATACCAATTAGAGGTAAAGAGGAGGAAGGTAGGAGACAGGAGCCTGCTCTTTATGGCACATTCTCTTGGTGGGATCTTGGTGAAAGAAGTGCTGCGGCGCTCTCAAAGCCATCCAGATACGGAAATTCAGAAGCTATTTACGTTAACTACAGGTGTCTTCTTCTTTGGTACTCCACATCGAGGAAGTAAGGATTGGGCGTCGTTCGGGGAAGGCGTTGCAGGAATGGCGGGTCGTCTTCTAGGCATAGACACGAACAGTCAAGTCATCCATGCATTATTGCCTGGCGGCCCTGAGCTTGAATTGTGCCAGGAGTCATTTACGGCCCAATGGGTAGCACGCGGAGATAGTCTTGTAGTAAGGACTTTTCAGGAATCGAAAGGAGTTACCGGTATCCGGTTTGGGGGATTCAATCAACTGGTACTGCAGACATCTAATTACTTTGGCAAGACTAACTAGATTGCCAGATTGTACCCCCAGACTCCTCCTCGCTAGACCATCCAAGTCAGCGGGCCCGAACAATAGATGAGGACCATATAGGCATGGTCAAGTTTAAAGGAAGGAACGATAAAGCTTACGAGATGGTGAAAGCGGATATTGAAGAGCTAGTCGAGAATAGTGAAGTAGTAAAAGCAGCGAGAGACCCAGGGAATAGTTAGTGTAGTAGTATATCTAGTAAAACAGGACTGATTTTCTCGTAGATATGACAAAACAAGATCGAAAGTGTATTCAGGACTTACGCGTCACCGACCCCTGCCACGACAAGGAACGTATTGAGAAAACTAAGGGTGGACTGCTGGAGGACTCATACCGCTGGATCCTCCAAAACCCCGACTTCCAAAGATGGCGTGACGACGATCAGAGCCGACTACTATGGATTAAAGGCGATCCTGGCAAGGGCAAGACGATGCTGCTTTGCGGTATCATCAACGAGTTGAATAAGCCAATGACCAAGACAGGCCAGCTGTCTTTCTTCTTCTGCCAGGCCACAGACTCACGGATTAACAGCGCCACGGCCGTGCTTCGAGGTTTGCTGTACTTGCTTATCAATCAGCAGCCATCATTCGTCCCGCATTTACGGAAGAAGTATGACCACGCAGGCAAAGCACTCTTTGAGGATGCAAACGCCTGGGTTGCCTTATCTAAGATCTTCACAAACATTCTGCAAGACTCAAACTTGAATACTACATACCTAATTATTGACGCACTTGACGAGTGCGTATTAGACTTGCCAAAACTGCTTGACTTTGTTGTCCAGCAGTGTTCATTATCACCTTGTGTGAAGTGGGTAGTCTCTAGCCGCAACTGGCCAAGTATTGAAGAACAACTGGTGAAGGCAGGACAGGGGGTAAGGCTGAGCCTTGAGCTGAATGCGGAGTCTGTTTCTACTGCTGTTGGTGTATTCATCCAGCAGAAAGTGCTTCAGCTATCGCAGGATAAGAACTACGACGACGAAACTAAGGGCGCTGTGCTTGATCATCTGTACTCAAATGCGAATGATACATTCCTCTGGGTAGCTTTGGTCTGCCAGAATCTTAAGGAGATGTCCCGGTTGAATGTCGTCACTAAGCTGAAGTCATTTCCACCAGGACTCAACTCTCTTTATGAGCGGATGATGCAGCATATCAACGACTCAGACGATGCTGAACTCTGCAAGCGTGTGCTAGCGACAATCACAGTCGCGTATCGCCCCATCACGCTAGAAGAGCTATCCTCTCTTGTAGGGGAGCTCGATGGCAAGGATTTGGGGTTATTGCAGGAGATTGTTAGCCGCTGTGGCTCGCTTCTAACTATCCGAGATGGTACCATCTACTTTGTCCACCAGTCTGCAAAGGATTTTTTGCAAAAAGAGGCATTCAACACCGTATTCCCATCTGGAAGCGAAGAGGCCCATTATGCAGTCTTCTTGAGATCACTGCTTTCAATGTCCAAGATGCTCCAACGAGATATGTACAGATTGGGAAGATTAGGATATCCCATTGAAGAGGTCTATCAGCTGAAGCCAGATCCCCTAGCGCCGTTGCGCTACTCGTGTACCTACTGGATCGATCACCTCTGTGACTGGAGTTCTAGCACTTCTGCATACGATAAGGACGTCCTCCAGGACGGAGGCCTTGTCGACAGCTTCCTTAGAAAGAAATACCTTTACTGGCTTGAAGCTCTAAGTCTCAATAGAAACATGTCAGAGGGTGTGCTTGCAATAGGAAAACTCAACACATTAGCCCAGGTGAGCAGTAAAGTAGCAACATTTTCTAATGTATACTAATATTATCCAGAAAAGCACAGATGGACCTGGCTTGACAAACTTACTTGAAGATGCGCGCCGATTTATTATGGCCCATAAGTCGGCAATAGAGAATAGTCCACTTCAGGCATATGCTTCCGCGCTCCTCTTTAGCCCCACTCGCAGTCTAATAAGAGGCCTTTTTAAGAAGGAAGAGATGGGCTCAGTCACAATAAAGCCAGGTATGCAAGAGAACTGGAGCGCTTGCTTGTCAACGCTCGAGGGCCATAGCGATTTTATTTCCTCGGTAGCCTTCTCACACGACTCGACCCGGCTGGCGTCAGGGTCAGGTGACCACACAGTCAAGATCTGGGATGTGAGTAGCGGCAAGTGCCTGTCGACGCTCGAGGGCCGTAGCAGTCATATTACCTCGGTAGCCTTCTCACACGACTCGACCCGGCTGGCGTCAGGGTCACGTGACGACACAGTCAAGATCTGGGATGTGAGTAGCGGCAAGTGCCTGTCAACGCTCGAGGGCCATAGCAGTTTTATCTTCTCAGTAGCCTTCTCACACGACTCGACCCGGCTGGCGTCAGGGTCATATGACGACACAGTCAAGATCTGGGATGTGAGTAGCGGCAAGTGCCTGTCGACGCTCGAGGGCCATAGCAGTTTTATTTCCTCGGTAGCCTTCTCACACGACTCGACCCGGCTGGCGTCAGGGTCATATGACGGCACAGTCAAGATATGGGATGTGAGTAGCGGCAAGTGCCTGTCAACGCTTGAGGGCTATAGCAATTCTATCTCCTCGGTAGCCTTCTCACACGACTCGACCCGGCTGGCGTCAGGGTCATATGACGACACAGTCAAGATCTGGGATGTGAGTAGCGGCAAGTGCCTGTCAACGCTCAAGGGCCATAGCAGTCATATTACCTCGGTAGCCTTCTCACACGACTCGACCCGGCTGGCGTCAGGGTCACATGACGACACAGTCAAGAT